CCTCCCATTGCCAGTTCCGGGCCCTGTCTGACATGCCCGCCTTCTTTTGCAGGCCAAGGAATACAAGATGCAGGAAAAGCAGTCCTCAGGTTACCTACATCATGTCCTGGTTACGACAGGAATTGTTACCTTTCTTTTCATTTTTTATTACTGTTTCACTTCATTTCTCACTGTTGAAAAAAATGCCGTTATGTCAAACTATAGAAACTGATCTCCCAGGTTACCCGAGGACCTACTCTATTATTGACAGGAATCCTTTCCAATCCCCTGGCCAAAAGCAGAAGGCTCCACCTTCCTGGGGAACGTGTGCAGCAACATGCTACACACAGCTTATATGTTGAGTATAAACAAGTCAACTTTTGAGCAAAATCAAAATTAATTAAATACACATTGATTGAGTGCTTATTGTGTGCCTGACTCTTCCAGAACCAGACTCTTTATCCCAGGATTCTGGGTCCTTTGAGACCCAGCCCTGGGGCCTCCCCACACCCAATCAGCCCCACCTGGCCCTCCCCCAGGGCTGCCTGACCTGATTCATCCTTCAGATCCAGGGCCGCTGGCTCTTCTGTGGCCTCCTCGGGGCCCGAAAGGGGAAAGTCACCTCTGTTTCTCCTCTACAACTCTCACAGTCCAGACCAGCTGTGGGATTGCCCCGCCAAGCTGTTTCCAGTCTCTGTGGACACCACTTTCTTTCCTCTGATTTAACTCAATTCTGATGCCAACAGGAGTTATTGAAGGCCCCACAGGTTAAGGGTTCTGTCCCACCAATCTGCCCCAACTTCAGATGCCAATCCCAGATAATGGGTCCCAGGCTACCCACAAATTTCTTTCCAGGGATTCCCACGACTTCTCCTTGGGTTCAATAATTTGCTAAACTGGCAGTCGGACAGCCCTCTCACAATCCAGGACTGCAGGCTCCTAGTGCTCACCTGCCTGCCTGCCTCATCGCCCCTAACTGCCCCCTCAGCCAGCCTGATCACCCCTATCCGCCTCTGCCTGTCAGCCAGGCTACCCTCAACTGCTCATCCCCAGCCAGCCTAGTCACCCTCAACTGCCCATCCACCAGCCTGGTTGTCCCCAACTGCCCCTCCTGCTGGCCTGACTGCCCCACACAGCCTGCTGTTCAGTTTCCATCCCGTTGTTTCTGTCGTGACAGACCCTGGCTTTTTATATATTAGGATATTCGGGGCCTGCTGAAAGTAAAAGACCAATCAGTCAAAATCCCATCACTTAAAAATTATAAAATATGAAGTGGCATTCCCCTCAACTGGCCAGACCCTTCAGCCCTGCACTGCAGAGCCCCTAGAGCAGGGGTGGGCAAACTTTCTGACTCAAGGTTCCACAATGGGTTCTTAAACTGGACCCGAGGGCCGGAACAAAAGCATGGATGGAGTGTTTGTGTGAACTAATATAAATTCAAAGTAAACATCATTACATAAATGATGTTTTTTCAATAGCTTTTTTCATTTCAAGCGGGCCAGATCTGGCCCGCGGGCCGTAGTTTGCCCACAGCTGCCCTAGAGGCACAGTGGGAGCTGATCACTGGAGGGGCCACAGAGCACCATGCAGGCTGAAGGTGAAAGGACTTTTTAGGGATAAAATAGGCAGGTTTAGGAAGTTTTAGGAATTAGGGGTTCCATGGGGAGAACCACAAGGCTGCAAAGCTGGGAGCTGCCCAAAGGTATACGTTCACAGAATAAGGGAGCAGCCAGGAGGTGTGCGTTTACAGAGTAAAGGGAAGGAAGCCACTCACTCAGAGAAGGAAGAGGAGGCCAAAGGGAATAGAAAAACACAAGGGAGAGAAGAGGGGAACCCCACATGAGGTTTAGTTCTGAAGCTGCTATAGACCAATCAGAGGGGATATCAGGACACAAAGAACTGCAGCCTTTATAAACCTTAGAGAAAGGGACTTAGTGGGACTCTCTCCCCCTCCCCACGTGGAAGTCTGTGCTTGTTTATGAATAAATTTCCACCTTTTCCTATACCACCTTTTGTCTGTGGCTTCATTATTCTAATGCACCTGGACAAGAACCCGGGAAGCTACCTTTGCATCCTGCCCAGTTCGAAATTGGAGTTTCAAAGGTGCAACAGAAACATTTGTGGACGAAAGGGGCCACATGCTAACCTGACAAGCTCAGGGGAGGCCTGCATGGCGGTCTTGCAGACTCAGAGACCTAAAGTAACCACTAAGGATGGTCTGAAATTAAACTTTAACTAAAAGCAGTTATGGTGGGTAGTTATATCCTAGGCCGGTATCGTCACTGACAAGGTTAACCTTTACATTAACTGAGCCCATCTGTTTCTTTGCATCTGTAAAAATAATACCCTTGAAATGTCTGGGTAACTTGTAACTTCCCTTTTTCTGGAGCCCTTGGGCACAACCTAATGTGCCAGGACAGACACCACAAACTCCTTCATTGTTATCATGTTATTGATCCTGCACCCACCTAAGTATGTGTCTACCATTTTACATTTTATCCAATCCCAGGGGTATCCCCCATCCCCCTCTTTGCTGTTTCCCGCCTCTCCATTGGTCTATCACCAATGGATTTCATGTAACTCACCTACATCTCTTCCTTTGATTGCAATGTATAAATACAGATGTAACCCACCATCCTCCAGAGCATTATCTCAATCCCTTGAGGCTTTGCTTCCCGGCAATTGTAGAGTTCGGCTCAAATAAACTCACAAAAATTCTTTACAGGTTTGAATGTTTTTATTTTAACTCATTCATGTACATATACTGTTGGCACAACTTCATAATATAAAAAAGTACAAAAAAAACTAAATGCCCATCTATAGGCTATTAGTTCAATTAACTGAAATAATCATGCATTAGAACAGGAACTCTGTATTCCCGTGGTTCTCAAGGCACACGTCAGGCAGGCTGCATGCTCAGCACGGTCAGCTGGGTAGGCAGATGCAGAAACACAGGGATGGTGGGTGCTGGGTGGGGGTGGGGGTAGGGGTGGTGGGTGGGTAAGTGGCGGGCGGTGAGCTTGATGGTTATTTTGTCTGTGTCAGGGGCCCTCCCTGAGGGTCCTCCCTGCCTGACTTTCACCAGGAGCCTCAGGCCCCTCCTGCTGGCCTTCCCCAGGATGCCCCTTGGCTGTTGTCCTGCCAGGCCCAAGTGTTACCTCCTCCAGAAAGTCTCCCAGGACTGAAGGCTTTTGGCTGTTGTGAGAATAAACAAGTAAGCTTTTCTGTCAAAGAACCATTTAGGCAGCTGCCATTTAGGTGACATGACTTACAGCTCCCCTGGGGGCCACCATCTTGGGCTCTGTCTTACCCCTCCCATCCTCTGAATTTGCCAATCACACAATAATGGGAAGCCGAGCTCTGAGCCCTGACCAATCAAGTCAGAGTTCAGAGTGAGGGGCAGGGCAGACCCCGTGTCAGGAAATAAAACCCCATCAGACTTCCCTTTCGGTGCTTTGACCTTGATTTCCAGCTGGGAGAGCACCCTTCTCTGCACAGGGGTAGATGGCCTTGCTGGTCCAGTTTCTAGTGTTTATCTCATTCCTGCTACATTTCTGTTTCTTTTTCTTTCTTTCTTTCTTTTTTTTTTTTGTGTGTGTGCCAAAAAGTTCATTAGATTTAGGCAGTTTTTTGGTTTTTTTTAAAATATATTTTATTGATTATTTTACAGAGAGGAAGGGAGAGAGATAGATAGTCAGAAACATCGATGAGAGAGAAACATCGATCAGCTGCCTCCTGCACATCTCCTACTGGGGATGTGCCCGCAACCCAGGTATATGCCCTTGACCGGAATCGAACCTGGGACCTTTCGGTCCGCAGGCCGATGCTCTATCCACCGAGCCAAACCGGTTTCGGCAATTTAGGCAGTTTTATGTAATCTCAATAATATCTAAATTTTGTGCATGGACAAACTTTAGTATAATAAAATTCTAACCCTTCCACTTTTAAATTATTCTCATTGGTTCCTCCCTGCCTCCCCCACCTCCCACCTACCCTGACAATCTCCTCCTCTCCTGCGACATTGTTGAGAGCATTTCTAACTCTGTGAGCTTCCAGGGGAAGGGCTTTGGCCAAAAAAGTTGGCTCCGGGGATTCTGAGTACGGGCTGCAACTGTGGGGCGGGGACTGGACCTGAAGCTCTGTTTGCACAACAGGCTCAGGGTCCTCTTCAAATGACTCCGAATTATGGAATCCTTGGCCTCAGACCTCACCACCCCCTGGCACTGCCCCTACTGTCTGGGGCTTCAACTATATTTCTCCTCTAGGAGCCACGAGGCAAGCCTGCCCAGGCATTGATTTTCTCCTCTGTCCCTCGCCCTCAGTTGTTCTTAGTTGACTCACAAAAAGCTATGTGTTAACTGCTTTTTCTTCAGAACAAGTGAAAGAGAAACAAAATAAAATGAATCACAATCACCTCAGAAAAAAAGGCACATGATTTCAGGGAAACCACAGGATACACACGGGGGAAGAGCAGGAAGCAAACTCCCTAGTCTGTTTCTGGGTCAGACCAGCCAGAGCAGGAGGAGAGAGGTTGGTTTGCTTCTCAAGGTAAGAGCAGGGGGATGGGCAGGGGGACCAGGGTAGGAGAGCTGCCTCACCAAGATGTGGGAGTCAAACAGGGGGTTCGTTTTCTGGAACAGGACGGCAGGCTCAGCCTCAGGGAATGGGGGCCGCAGCCAAGGGGGGCCTAGGTACAGCAGGGACATGATACAGGCAGGAATCAGATCTGCCTTCTAGAAGGGACAACTGAGGACAAAGGGTGAGAGCCAGGTTAGCCACACCCTGGCCTTGGAATGTGTGCCTTGGAATGTGTGGGGGGGCTGGGCAGGGAGTGTCAGTGGTCAAGGACCCCAGCTGTTCCTTTCTCTGTACCCAGTGGGGCCACCCTCACCCCACTACCACCTGTCAGATGGCCACCCCCTCAGGTCCTCCCCAGATGTGTCCCAGGGCAGGTTCTTATCCATGGGTCCTGCTGGGAGCAGTGAGTTGGGGGAAGAGGGGTGTCAGGAATTCTGAGCAGCCAAAGGAAATAGCCTGGTGGACAGGGAAGGGGAGGGGCTGCTGGTGAGTATCCCCATAGACCCCGGGGGCAGAGGAGAGGGGCCCAGGAGCCAAGCCTGGGTTTTCTAGGTATGGGGGTACAGCTGGAGGGGCTGCAGAGGATGGGCAGGAGGTGGGGCAAAGCCTGGGCTGGTGGCCTCAGGGGCTCCCTCACAAAACAGTTTCCCAAGGTGGGTGAGGAGACAGTGTGGGAAAGGCTCACCTGTCTGAATTCAAATAACGGACTCAGACACAGAAGTCTGGTGAAAATGAGACTTTTAAAACTTTCTCAGAAGCAGGTGTCCGTTGGTGCAGGCTCACCTGAATTAGCTGGCACGGGCAATATTTATCTTCTTGTGTGAAAGTCCCTCCAGTTCCTCTTTGGCTGAGTATATGGAGTTTACATTCTATCCCGTACATCGCTAGGTCTTATTGTCTCCTTTTTGTTTTTGTTTTTGTTTGTTTGTTTGTTTGTTTTTTAATTGGCTGAGGCCTTTTCTAGTTGTCTCCACCTCCCTTTGTCTACAGAATCTTCCTGGAAAATGTGCTACCAGCCAGGTGCACAGCTCTCATAATCTCCCCCCACCTCCCCTCCCACATCCTGCTTGTTCCGGGGAAACTCAGTAACTGACTGGCTACAGGCTGTTTCTTTTCTATGAAGATGAATCATAGAGGCATGTCTCCTACAACAGGAAGCCCCACCCAGGCTGAGGAGCTCTAAGGCAATGGGGGGAGGCGGGGGCAGGTGAGCTCTCCCCCAGGCCTGCAGAGGAGACTCCTGAGCCCAAGGCAAAGCTTGGCCCTAGGACTCCACAGACAACGCCCCATCCCTCCACCCCCAGAGAATGGGCCTGGTCCAGGGCCATTAACCCTCAGGTCTCTTGTTGACCAGGTGATCCCCTCAGAGCAGGATCCCTGTGAGGTTGGGACCTGCTTCTGCCTTGGAGGAGCAGATCCCAGAGGCCCTAGGGCAGTGGTTCTCAACCTTCCTAATGCCGGGACCCTTTAATACAGTTCCTCATGTTGTGGTGACCCCAATTTCATTGTTACAAATTGAACATAATTAAAGCATAGTGATTAATCACAAAAACAATATGTTATTATATAAGTGTTTTCCGATGGTCTTAGACGACCCATGTGAAAGGGCCGTTCGACCCCAAAGGGGTCGCGACCCACAGGTTGAGAACCACTGACGTAGAGGAATTGGAGTGTGTGGGAAGGTGACTTGCGGCGTTCTCCCCACAGGTGTGAGCTCTGATTTTTTGAGAAGATGATGGAAAAAGGAAGTTCCACACTCAGGCTCATTTTAGTGAGATTCAGCCAGGCCTGGCCATGCCCAGCCACCAGTTACTGGGACAAAAACAGGACTGTGGTCATTTCCCCCATTGACAGGGTGCACCCAGGACAACTAAGGGCCTATAAGGGGCCCACTGCTTCTCCCTGGGCTAAGACCCCAGGACACATGGGATGGGGCATCTCAAGCGACAGGCCAGGAGTTCTCAGAGGACCCAGGTGATAGGGCCAGAAACAGAATATTGGGGACCAACTGAAATTGTAAGTATTAATCATGCTCTGTTAACCATGATTGTTTTGTTCTGATGAAAGAAGGCACATTCTGACCTGGCTGGGAGCTCACCTGGAAATGCAGCCCATCATCCCCACCAGGGAGCTGCCTATTATCATGGAGAGATTAACAGCCTAGTTGTAGAAACCAGAGCCTGGAGCCCTTCCCATATCACCAGCCCTTTGAAGACCCCCAGCCTTTGCAGATGCTCAGGCCTTTGCAAATCTCCAGCCTGTGTTACCTGTAAACTGCCCACTTGGCATACCCTTGCCTACTTCCCCAGGTAATCTTTGTCCTTCTACCCAATATAAGCAGCGGGCTTACGGTGAGGTGCAGAGCAGATGTTTGGGGATGACCTGCTGCTCACCAACGCTGCCAGCAGTACTGGAATAAACGCTCTGCTGAATTGGCTCAGGGAGTGACAGCAGCACGGACCCCCTGATTGTCCGGTTACACAGGACCCCTCAGCCTCCATCCCCAGCTGGGGTGTCAGAAGGGCCACATCCCCCAGAGCCTGAAGGACCCTCTACAGTGTGCCCAACTCACCCTGTGAGCAGCTCCACTGTACACTTGCTTTCTCCCTCCAGCCCAGGAGGTGGAGAGTGCCATCCCCATGACCTATGAGGTGACAGCGCCCGAGGGCCAAGGGCCATCCTGAGGCCACCAGTTGCTCACTACAGAGGGTGGAGCAGAGCCAGCATCTGCCTTGAAGCCCATTCTTCCCACTCAGCTCAGTGGATGGGGCCATCTTGCGTGTTCCTCTTCCCTCTGGTCCCACCCGTCCTGTCAGCCGGGACCCTGAGCCCCATAGTCCCCTCATTGTCTCTATCCTGTGGGGTGAGCGGGGGTCACAGGTCACCATTCCCCTTTCTTCCTCCATATAGGGAGGGAGCGGTCTGAACTTCCTGGCCACAGGGCTCGGTGCACTTCTGTTAGTCGATGGCCCAGTGGCAGTAGGACTCATAGGAATCGGCCTCTTCTGCTTGACTAAGGTCAGAGCAAGCCTGGGATTAGCATCTGGGGAGGTCTGGGGCTGGGTGGGGGTGGGGTTTGGGGCTGCATATGAGTAAGAGGGAGGGTTGGGGATGGTTTTAAGGAGGCACAGTTCAGATCTGAGAAGGTATTGGGGCCCTCCATTGGCCTGGAGGTCTGGCAGCCCCTCCAAACTGACTTCCCATACCCTCCTCCCATTGTCTGACATGCCCACCTTCTCTTGCAGGCCAGTGAAAACAAGGTCCAAAAAATGCATTGACAGGAATCCTTTCAATCCCCTGGCCAGAAGGAGAAGGCTCCACCTTCCTGGGGAACGTGTGAAGCAACAGGCTATGCACAGTTTAATTTTGATTATCAACAAAGTCAACTTTTGAGCAAAATAAAAATTAATTAAATACACACTTATTGAGTGCAAACTGGGTGCCGGACTCTTCCAGAACCAGACTCTTTATTCCAGGATTCTGGGTCCTTTGAGACTCAACGCCACTACCTCCAGCCCTGATGTTAGTGGGGAAGGGCATGTAATAAGAATAGAGCCACAGTTGTCTGATGAATGATAGATGAGCAGTTTTCTTACAGACCCTGGAAACGGGAGGATGAAGAGGCCTATAAAATACCAAACACCCCGGAGCCTGGATGGGCCCATTACTCAAAGAAAAGGAAAACATTTTGAGAACAGACACATGACACGTTTTGATTTGGTTGCTGCACCTGAACCCTGACCCTGACCCCTTCCGGGAGTTTTCCTTAGGAATGCTGACCACTCTCGGGTCCCAGTGAAGGGGAAAATAAGACATTTGGGGGGGCGGGGGTTAGCTATCTGAATCTGTGCCAGTAACCTGCATTCTGATGCACACTCTTGCTTGCTGATAAACTCCATTCTTATCTGTCCTGCCTTGCAGAACCTTATGGCGGGGTCTCTCTTTTCCACGTCCAGCACGGAAAGAGAGTGGTCCGGTTCTTTGAGTAGGGGGGCTGGGGATTGAGAAAGGAAATAAAGAGACAAGACACAAAGATGGAAGGGAAAGGCTGGGACTGGGTGGGACCGCCGTCCTCTTCTGAGGGAGAGACAGGGACCCAGCACCGAAGCAGTGTGTTTATTTTATACCCCAAACACCAGGAGGTTTCACCAAAACTCAAGATAAAGGAGCTTGGGTGGGCCCAAGTCGTATTCATTCCTGGTGCTAGACTAGATTTACATATCAAAACCCACTCCCCAACACCTGGACAAAGATGGGAGTCAAGCTGAGAACACTTCTGCCCCTTTTGGTAAGATGCGTATCCAAGATGTGGCTCTGCCTGTCGCCTTGGGTTCAGCTGACAATTATTAAGGAAAAATGCCCATGTGCCTTCCCAGGGGCCCTCTACAGAACCTGTTTCCCGGAATACTCCAATTTTACAGAGACCATAAGCCATGAACCATATACAACCCCCTAAGGGGGTTGGCAAGCGCTGGTGTCAGACAGACCTCCAAGTGTAATCTTACTTCCCCCATCCCAACTCACAGGGGGCCACAAAGCCCGTGAAAAGTCTGGAAACCTGACCCATATTTGGGGGACAAAGGAACTAAGGGTATAAAGGGAAAGCTTCATCCATATTCATCGCTCAGAATTTGGAGACTGACTCCCCTGAGTCTTGGCACTAGTGCATCTGCAAATAAAGGCTACTTTTCTGAATATCCTCTTGAGTGCCTGGCTGATTAATTCTCCCGTGTTGTCTGGCAGGTTATCCGAAACATTAATTTGGTGCATTGGCCGAGAAAATACCAGTCGTGCTGCCTACTTAGGGCACCACTGGTAAAGGTCCACGGCTGGTCCATTCACCCGGGCCCCCCTGCAGACGGGAAAGGTGCACCTGCAGTGGTTTACTGGGTCCCAGTCCTCATCGGGCCTGGACGACCAGGACCCCCGCTCGCGCCCCCGTGGACTCCAAGGAGGACAGAAAAGCCCTTTCTGGAACCAGATGTCTGACCAGTGAGTTTTCCCCCAGGGGACCAGTTCAGGCCTATCTTTCGGGACAGAAGAAGTGGCTGATCACCAGTGAGGGAAAATATTTGCCTCAGTTCAGGGACTTTCCGTGGGCGGAAGTCAAAGCTCAGGCTGACTGGTGTGTGAATGTGAACGTAAAAGTCTGTGTGTAGCGAAAGTTGCCTTGTGTTTGTCCTGTGTCTCTGTTAACTGGGAGGAATTACACAGTTTAACTGCAAATATGGCAAGCAGTTCCTCCAAACCCACTGTTGTGGAATGTATGTTAAAGAATTTTAAGAAAGGTTTTACTGGGGATTGTGGGGGGAAGTTAGTTCCCTGGACGTTAAGAAAGATGTGTGAAATAGACTGGCCATCTTTTGGGGTAGGATGGCCAGCGGAGGGCACATTGGATGTCCCCACAATCAGGAATGTTTACAGAGTTATATCGGGAGACCCAGGTCATCCCAACCAGTTTCCCTACATTGATCAGTGGCTGAAAATAGCTCAGCTCAAGCCACCTTGGGTCGGGCTCTGTGTGTGTAAGGGGCAGAGTAAGGTTTTAGCGGCAGAAAAAAGAGACAGGCAGGAGAAGAGAAGCAGGCCCCTCAGAAGGAGAACAAGCCTCCTGTTCTGCAGGAACCCCCTGAGGAAGCCCCGCCAGTTTTACCACCTCCACATGTGGCACCCAGGGCTCCTTTGCCCGGTCAGGGAAGCTTAGATACGCCACCTCCTTCTGACTCTCCAGAGCCAGTTGGATGGCACTTGCGCTCAGCTGATCAGAGACCCAAGCCACCCCCAGCTTTTCAGATGCCTCTCTGGGAGACTCAGGGTCCCCACGTGCTTGGAGAAGATGGGGCCTACAAGAGGGGGATTGGTCTTTTACTACCAGCCTTTTACCACGACCGACCGATCTCCTGAATTGGAAACAGCACACTCCCACCTATTCTGAAAACCCTCAGGCCATGGTAGACCTCCAAGAGTCAATTGTCCAGACCCATACGCCCACCTGGGTTGACTGCAAGCAACTCCTTCTCACGCTTTTTAACACAGAGGAGCGCTTGAGAATAGTAACGGAAGCTCAGAAATGACTCCAGACCCAGGGCCCGGCAGGGATATTGACACAGATAGATGGGCCGGGGAGGAGGCCCTCCCAGATGAGGAGCCCAGATGGGAGCCGAACTCAGAAGACAGAGGGACAGGCTAGAAAGATAATGACTGGCCTTCCTCCAGGGGCTCAGGGCCAGAGCCAAGAAGCCCACCAATATGGCCAAGACCTCTAAGGTCTTCCAGAAACCTGATGAAAGTCCAGCAGCCTTCTTTTTTAAAAAAAAATATATATTTTTTTATTGATTCCAGAGAAGAAGGGAAAGGGAGAGAGAGATAGAAACATCAATGATGAGTGAGAATCATTGATTGGCTGCCTCCTGCAAGCCCCCTACAGGGGATTGAGCTTGCATCACAGGTATGTGCCTGTGAATATTTCTCTCTTCTCTGAGTAGAGAGCAGTCTGGTTCCTGAGTAGGGGCGGCTGGGGATTGAGAAAATGAAAAAAAAGAGACAGACACAGAGATGGAAGGAAAAAGCTGGGGCCAGGTGAGACTGCTGTCCTCTGATGGAGAGACAGGGACCCAGAGCCAATACAGCGTGTTTATTTTATACAGAAAAAAAAAAAAAACAGGAAGTTTTACTAAAGGTCAAGACAAAGGAGATTATGTGCATTCTTGGATGGGCCCGAGTCATATTCATTCCTGGTGGTTGGCTGGATTTAAAAAACAAAACCCACTCCCTAGCACCTGGGCTGAAGGTCAAGCTGACAACACTCCTGCCTCTTAGCAAAGCATGCTTCCAGGACGTGGCTTTGCCAACACCACTGGATTCAGCTGACAATAATTAAAGACATGCCCATGTGCCTTCCCAGGTGCTCTCTACATGTGCCCTTGACCGGAATCGAACCTGGGACCTTTCAGTTCACAGGCTGATGCTCTACCCACTGAGCAAAACCAGCTAGGGCCAGCAGCCTTCTATGAGAGACTCTGTGAGGCATATTGAATTACATTCCTTTTGACCCTGAAGCCCCAGAAAATCAAACTACGGTCAATGCAGCCTTTTAGGTCAGGCTCAGCCCAATGTAAGGAGAAAGCTACAGAAGCTCAAAGGATTTGGGGGCGGGGGGGGGGGGGGGGGGGTAATGCAACCAAGCTGATAGAAATGCAAACAAGGTTTTCATCAACCAAGACAGGGCAAATAAGGAGGAAGCAGAGGAGAGACTGAAAAAGAAAGCAGCCTTGATAGCGGTGGCTTTAAGGAACCAAGCTCCCAGACAGAGAAAGGGAAACAACAAGGACCCAGGCCAGGGAGGAAGAATGGAGACTTTATACCTCCCAGTCAAAGGACTCGCCATTAGAGCCTGAATTAGAGGGAGAATTCCCTGCTCTGGGCAGAAGGAAATCCCCCTGGCCAGGCCAAGGACCACACCCCAGTACTAATTGACTTGAAGCCTGGGGCACAGCCTGTCAGAATCTGCCAATATCTGATTCCAAGGGATGCAGGCCTAGGCATGTGCTCTTGGTTGGAATTGAACCCAGGATCCCTCAGTCCGCAGACCAACGCTCTATCCACTGAACCAAATCAGCTAGGGCAAGGTCATGACTTTTAAACGCTTATACCCTCTGATTGAAAAACAGCCACACAGTGGAGCTGGTAGCCACTGCATCCAATCGTTAACAATGGCAGGGGGTCTTGGGCACTCCAGAGAAGGAAATCAAGAGAGTTCACCATACACACACAAAATATTGCCCTAGTTCTGTGGTCACAGTGTCGGCCCGAGGACCGAAGAGTCGAGGGTTCAATTCCAGTCAAGGACACATACCTCAGCTGCAGGCTCTATCTCCAACCAATCAATATGTCTCTCTCACATCAATGTTTTTCTCTCTGTGTCTCTCCCCCTCCCTCCCACTCTCTCTAAAAATCAGTGGGGGTGAGGATCAACAACAAAAGCAGTTCTCAGGGAGAGGTTTACTATAGCTGGTGTGCAGGAGGGAGTTAGTCCGGAGGGAGAGGAAGGATCGGCTGCTCCCAAACAAAGGCTGGGAAACAGTTTAAAAGAAGTTGCGGGGTAGAAGATGAGGTCTAAGTATGTAGAGGGGAGGACTCTGACACTTGTGCAGTGGAACCACATGCTTTTTCTTGCAGGGCATGTCTCACTAGCATGTTAGATCTCCACCCAGGGGTGTGTGTTTTAGCATTTAAATGGGGGAGGGTCAGCGAAAGGACAGTCTTTCTCGAAAGTGCGCCTGTGTGAGCAAAGGGAACGAAATTTAAGCTCAGGAAGTAAATCTTGCAGGCAGCAGGGTGATTCTTCAGCCTAACTGCTAATTGGCTGCAAGAAGAAGGGAAATCACTGGGGAAATTATGGGTTCCTGGCTTCGTGCCAG